TAGAAGTCATAATTTTTAATTTATTATTACATGATAGTATAAAATATTCATTACTGATAAGGAGGACATCTCCTATTTTACTTCATTCTTATTTCATTGTTTGACAATAATATTTTTATTTTTATCTAAATTAAAAAAAATTCATATATATAATGTGCAGAGAACTTGGTCATGTATAAATTCACTTAGTTTTCGGTCCTCATTTCCTTAATTTTTAGGTCTGCCCTTAACTTTAAATTTGTTTTAAATCAAAATTAATTTTATAAAATTAAGACAATTTAAAATTAAATCTTTTAAACCGTATGCAAATATAAAATTTATTATTAATCATGATTTTAAATGATTTTTAATTTCTTTAAAAGCTTGTATATTTGGAATTGATCCTGTGTAAAAAAAATATGTATTAAACCTTGACATTTAAAAGGGTAAAAATTAGTTTATATTATTAAATTCTTTTAGCACTTGTATCCAACATGGATTTAATTTTTTTCTCTTTTAAAATATTAGAAACTAAATTATACTTTTTCAAATAGGGATTAATTTAAATAATAACAACGTTAATACGGATAAAAATAATAATTTAAGGTCTTATTGTGGTTTGTTGGAAAATAATACAATGGTTTATTTCTTGCTTCATGGCCAATGTTGTGTGTAGGGCTAGAGATGGATTATGAGTTTAATTCTAATTTTGGTTATTTTAATTTGACTTTTTTTTCTTGTGATTTTAGTCCTTTTAATTTGGTACTTGTTCAATTTTGATCTTTTAACTTGTAATTGCATGATTTTATTTTCTCGAATTTATAATATATTTGACTTTTGTCTCTCAACTATTAATTATGCAATTTTAGTTTATGTATTTTTTAAATTTTGTATTTATTAACAACATTCAAATTTTAATATAGTGATAAATTGATTGTTAATAATGTTGAAATGTCCATGTTCATTTTATATTAATTATGTTGACGAGTTTATGCTTTTATGTCCAAAGAACAAATTATGAGAGTAATTTATTGGAGAGAATGACAAGTAGATATCGATTTGACATCGGTGCACATTATCATGAAACTATATTTTTAGTTAGGTCCCTTAAACAAAGAGAGACACATCAGTAAAATTAACATCTATTTTATCACTATTAAAATTTGGGTGACGAATCATCAGATACAAATTTTTATTTAAAAATAGAGGAACCAAATTAAAATCAGAACACAATTAAAAAATAGGAAATAAAAATTGTGTATGTATCAAACTAGTGGGACCAAAATTATGCAATTGGAAGTTAAAGGATCAAAATTAAATAAGTACTAAATTAAAGAGAGCAAAATTGTACAGTAATTAAGAGATTAATCTAAAGCTTAAATAAACAGGCATGCATATATAATCTTATACTACTATGTTAAAAATTTAAATAGACCAATTTATTAAACCTAAAATTTTCTGAATAACTTAAAATCTATCCTTTTTTTAAGTGAATATATTTATATTTAAAAGGTATGTACTTATCCTCTTTCTCTAGCAAAAAGATGACTCAAGTCAACTAGAAGCTATATTCAGAGAAGCCAATCAAGTGGCTGATCTGTTTGCTAAATATGTGGCTTAGAAAATATCGATAGGTTTATCTTTTCACCTATCCTTCCATTTCTGAGTAATGTTGTGTACTTTGATGTAATTGGAACATCTTTAATAGAAGTTTTGTCCATTTGGGGTTCTAGCCGTTTTAATTATCCATGACAAAAAAATCAAATGCGATTATAAAAATATCTTGATTGTTTTAATAAAAAAATTTGACTTATCTTAAATATATAAGCTAGACTCTGAACTCCCAACGAACTGCTTTATTTATTTCTTGATGGTTTCTTTATCAAGTCAGCTGAGGGATAGTGTGTTGAGTTTGGCCTCGCAATGCTAATAATGTGGGTTAGAGGAAAGTGATATCACAATTTAAATCTAATGCAGTTGAGGACCTGTTCTATTCTGGTGGCCCTTCCTCAGAACTATCTCTTGCATTGGGATCGTGATTTTGTTCTACAATCTAGGATGCCAAATAATTGTTATTTTTCTGCATTACAATGCCCAAGTTTGATCTTAACAACTTCACTAACATATTCATAATCGAGATCCTAATTAAAACAATATAGAATGGATTAACCCTATGAAATAATGATTAACTTCATGTTATTTCTCTAATACCAAAATTATCAATACATTTGTTGAAAAGGAGTATTTCCAAAACACAATTATTCATAAATATGTTGAAATTCACCCTCAGAACCTATGATTTTATGCAACTCACCGGCTTGATAATTTCCAAAGTAGATAATAATTTAATTTAATGGTTAAATGCCAATCCCAATAAAGAATATAGATACACATGACTGCATAGTTTTTTACCTGTTACTTTTCCAAGTGGTGACATTCGCCTCTTCAATCACTGTAAACCCATTACAAAATTTTACTGGTTGAACCAATCAGTTTGAGTCGGCAAAAATGGGCTATTCCGTCGATTTAAAAAGACCTATTGTGAGCTTCGAACTTTGAGGTGCTGATTAAAAGACTTCAGATCTATCTAAGTTACTAAAAATAATGTTCAAATTGGGAAAGCTTAATTTTTTAAGAGATTTTGTGTGTTTAGTTTGCATCGTGATAAAAATATATATAAATTTAATTTAAATTTTAAATTTAAGCCAATTTGATTAAACAAACTTATTTTGATCAGTTAAAACCAATACATCATTAGAATGTAATTTCACACACAAAAAATTATTTTATTTAATTTTTCACAAGAAGGAAAGATATTTTTAGCAATGGTTTATTAATTTTTTTTTTAAAAGTGTATTTAATTTCATTAAAAATCATACAATAATATTAAACATTACGATTTTAAAAATATATTATTTATTAATTTATTATTATGTATCATTACACATGTATTAAAAAAATTGTGCACAAAAATATCCTTAGCCTATTTAATAATAAACCTCAGCTAGCTTATGACATTCGCACACGTGCTTCTAATAAATCTATAAAGATAATCGTGTCATGTCTAAAGGCCAAGTAATTATGGCCCATACCTTCTATGATACTCACTCACACAGGACACAGTCCATTCGAGTTTCTGTCATAAATGATGGAAATGGACCACAGGTAGGTGATTCTCTCTCCGATTCATTTAGTTCAGTCCTATTCATAATCACAACCTATTAATCAAGTATCTTATCTAGTCTTTCTTATGTTCAATAAATTGTTACTGGCCATATGGGTTTTTTGAGTCTGCATTAAATTGTGTAAATTCATGGAAGCTGCATGTGATAGCTCGTAAGACAAGAAAAGTAGTAGTAAATTACGTAGTAACAGAGGAAAGGGTACCCCTTAATATGGCACGTCTGCCCCATGTTTCTAGTATTACTTCCAAGTTTGACTTACAATAGCAGAGGATATGCAGCCTTAAATTCAGCATGTTCTTTGGGTATATCGTGCCAGATCAAGCAATTCACATAGGGAAGCAAAAAGATGGATTTGGATTGCTTGCAGTTTTGGCAGAAAATGCTGCAGTTTCTTATTCGCTTAAATAAAATTTTTTTGCTTAAGCGAATTTTGGTAAAAAGTAATTTTGGCTTAAGTTAAAACAAATTCACTTAAATCAATTTTTGCTTAAGGCAGAAAAATTTGCTTAAGCGAAAGTAAAAATACACTGCAATATCTTTTTCTTCTTATGTATTTTCGCTTAAGCGAATATGATTCACTTAAGCAAAAATATTCAAGAAGAAGAAGATGATTCCTTCTCTCCATTACTTCGGTTCTCTCTATTCTCCTCTCCTTCCCTTCCTCTTACTTAGTCTCTTTCTTTCCTCCTCTTCCCCATCTCTTCTTCCCCATCCAATCTTCTTCCCCCTCTCTCCTCATCTAGCTCTCCTTCCTTCCCCTCCCCTTCACCCCCACTCATCTCCTTCCCCTTCTTTCTTCATCTAGCCCTTTTTCCTTCTCCTTATTAGCCTTCTCCTGCTTCCTTGTGTTCTTGCTTCCATCTCTGATCTCCCTCTCAGCTTCACTTTTTCTCTTCTTCTTTTAGTTTTTTTGCTACTCTTTCTAAATTCGCTTAAGCAAATTTTGCTGGTTTAAGCGAAAATTGGCTTAAGTGAATTTGTTTTAACTTAAGTTAAAATTATTTTTTACCAAAATTCACTTAAACAACAAAATTTCGTTTAAACGAATACAAAACCAAAACTGCAGACAATCCGAATCTCAAAAAGATATATGCTAATCAGTGCCTTTATTGTCCTCTAAGTACTATTAATTAATAAATTAAAAGTAAAAATTATTATAATATAGTAGTTATCTTTATAATTTGAAGAAATGTTGGTTTTGATTTTAATTTTTTTAATTTTAGTTTTAATTTTTTAAATCGAACACTTTCAATCTTTAATAACGACGAAATTTACTAAAATTTATTATCTGTCAATTTTTTTATCAATCACGATTTCTTATTAATATACTTCTTTTTTCATATATTTTAATATTTTTGTTTTTAATTCTTTAATTAGAGTCAAGTATTTATTGATATTTTTTTTCTTTAAGAAAACTCTCGTGCAGGACCCAATTGGAATTTAAGAGTTTAAATTTATTAATATTCTAGAATAAGGCACGTCCCTTACACATAATTTGATGGAATGTTGAGTACCTTTTAATAATTTAGCAGCATTGATTAACGATGTAAAGCAGTTTTTCATACTCAACCCCGTCAAAATTAAACAATTCGAACTAAGGATTGCTTGAATTCAATTGAACCTTTTGTTTAAGAACATACTTATAGACTAAAATTTTGCTCACATACAGCACAACACGCAAAGGAAACGGTCAGAACCATTAGGTGCAAAAACGAGGAACCTATGTCACTTAAAGTTAAACAATGTGATATAATACAAAATGCTTTCAAGTGCATGTGTTGCATATTAAAAAGATATATCCAAGTGCTGACTTCACCGGTATATGTGACACTATTATTTAAACCAAACCCAAAGTCCAAGACCTCTCTATCATTATTTTTGTCTCTCAACAAACCCACCCATTTGGATTCGGACAATTCTCATCAAAGATGTTCAATGCAAAATCTGATGAGGTTCTTCCCCACAAGACTGTGCTCCAAATCAAGCAAGATGACAAGTTCTTCAGTAGGCTTCTTTCAAAGGAAAGTTCCATGTCTCACCCATCATTCAGAATGGCTGTTGCTGTTCCTTTTGTGTGGGAATCTCAACCTGGCACTCCCAAATACACTTTCTATGAGGAAACTCTACCTCCTCTTACTCCTCCACCTTCCTATTACTTCAATTCCATCACTGCCACCAAAAACAAGCCACTCAAGAAACGTTCAAAATCCAATCTTTTGTCATCACTGTTCACAAAACTCCATCTCAAGAAAACCACTCTCTCACCCTCTTCACTTTCCTCTTTCTCTTCTCCATCTTTCTCTTCATTGTCATCCTCAGATTCTTCCCATGTTGTTCTTAAGCTTGGAAGGAGGCGTTTCCTAAGCTTTGGTTCTTCTTTTGACTTTAGGGGTGTTGATGATGAAGAGGGTGTTAGTTTTACTTCACCCACTTCAACACTTTGCTTTGGCATTCCTCGTTCTGCTAGCTCCATCTCTAACAGTACCTTCCGAGGTTCCTGCAGGAGGTGAATTTAATGTAATTGAGCCATTTCACTGTACTTTGGAGAATGATTTGGTGTGGCCATGGTGCTGTTGCTTTGAGTTTTATGTGTAAATGTTTTTGTTCCTCTCTGTGTTTAAAGGGAAACCAATTTTCTTGTTAAAAGTTGGTCTCGAGTTTGTTTCTTTCAAATAAATGGTCTGTTTCTAAGGTGTATTATTCTAAACATATTGTGCAGTTCAATGTTAAAACATGATATATTATTTGCATTTTGATTTTAGAATGTGTCCGAACTGAGTTGTGTTTTTTTGTCTTCGTGGACCTTATAAAATTTTAACTTTTAAGCAAAAACTGTTGTATTGCATCGACTATGACCATGGATTATTGTTATATTGTTATTTTGATATTTGTGATTGTTATCTTGTGATAATAGACAGTAATCAATGAATTAAGTAGGCTGTTAAGAATATATTTAATTTTTTAAAATTATGAATATATTTAACAAGAAGTAAGTTTCTTAGAGTAGTTCTTTTATGAATAACAAAATTTTTCTTTAAAATATTTAGCAGTTAAACACATTTAGTTATTAGAAATAAAATTATTTTTCTAATAGAAATTTTGGAGATTTTTTTATCAGCTAGCTAAATGGGCAATTAGCATTTGTTGTCCCTTCAAAATGTGGAGGGGGAAGAAGAAACATAAATCAGTTCAGCATATTTGAAAAAGTATTTTATTCATTCATTTCCTTATTTTAAATAAGGCCAATATAGCATTCTATAAGGTTCTTGTTCATTTCTTTTTGTCTTTCTCAACGTGATTATTCATTGCAAGAAGCAGAATCCGGTAAGAGTTACTATCATGCTATTAATTGGGCCTGAATAGCTGACAAATTGCTATTCCGTTGGAAATGATTTCGCAGTTTATTTCGTTTTTCTAGTGGCTTTGTTGTTGTGTCGTGTTGGTAAAGGACGCTTGAATATGGTAGGCTTACCTTTTGCTTCGGCATTTCTCGTGTGTCACGGATTCACGTACTTAATATCCAAAGTCATAATGGAACATATCTTCGATTTCTGGCCATGCAATAAATAACTAGAAGAATAATGCTATTTTCCTGACACTAATGCAGCTAATCAAATAAGAGTTTTAGTAAGTTATCGCATAGGGTAAATAGTTTTAGATCGGGTGGATTAGTAAAGTTAAAATAATATTATATTAAAAATTGTATTTTTTTATTTCATTTATCCGTTTAGGACGAGATTATTTATTCCATAAAATAATAATTTGGACAAATTCATTAAACAAATAATGAGATGGAATTTTCCTTAAGGAAATATGTTTTCCTGATATGTCAGATAATCAAAGAGTAACTATCATTTGTATTTAATTACTTCCTTAAAAAAATTTAATTGAGACAGTAATAACATCTTAGGCTGTCAATTTACTAAGGTTTCATTTGATGCAAAAAAAAAAAAAAATTGAATTGAATTTCAGAATTATAATTCTAATTTCAATTTCATTAGAATTAAAATTAGTTTAAAATTATAATTTTATGTTTGGTGTATTCAAAAGAATTAAAATGTAGAATTAGAATTCTAAGTTGAAATCAAATTCTACAGTGTGTTAATAAAATATAATTGATTATAACAATTTTTATTATTTTCATAATATAATCGCCTCAAAAGTATATTTCTTCTTGTATTTTTATCACTCTCGTGTGTTGGCTCTCTAAATATATTTCTTTGTTAATATGATAAAGTTATTGGGACCATTATAATAATTATTGCACTTGACACTAGTTTTTCTCTTTTTTATTTCTCTTGTACTCTTAATAGTTTTTGAATTAATTTCTAATATATTTTCTAACATCTAACAATTCAAAAAATTACTAAATAATTTATTACACAATTAATATAAATAATATAGTTTGTGTTAAGTGGAGAAAAATAATATAATATAATTTGCGGTAAGTGTAAAAAGTACAAAATAATAATATAATATAATTTGCAGTAAGTGTAAAATAGCAATACGATACAATAACATAAATATATTAAATATGTAATAAATATAAAATAGGAGAAAGAAAAGAAGAAAAAGATGTAAAAGAATAGGAAGAATAAGAGGAAAAGGAATAGAGAAAAATTACTTTTATTAATAATCAATGTAAAACGAAGAAAAAGAGAATAAAAAAATAAGAGAATATAAGAAAAAGAAGTAGTATAAAGGAGAGGAGAGTACAAAAAAAAATAAAAGAACATAGAAAGAGGAATAAAGATGCAACGAAAGGAGAGAAAAAGGAATAAAATACCAGAAAAAAAAGAATTATGAAGACGAGAAACTATAGAAATAAAGAGATATATACTTAAAAGTGTATTTGTAAATTATGATATTAAGAATTTAAATTCTTAAGTTACATGTTAAGAATTGAAGTGAGTCAAATTTAATTATAATAGAATTATATGAAATTAGTCTATAGAATTATAATCATAATTTTAAATATACACCCAAACATAATAATTAAAATTCTAAACTTCAATTCCAATTTCAATGTTCAATTCTACCCTCAATTATGTATACCAACGGACTCTAATAGAGGATGGCGTAAAAGGAAGATCTTAACCATCTTTTACGATGTCTGGATAAATATGTGTTCATTTCCTAAAATACATCATTTTTCAGAATTGGTTTATATTTAAATTTTATTTATTTTATTATTAAAAATTAAAAAAGGACAAGGAATACATCATATTTATTAAACACAATGATAAAAAATAAATAAAATTTAAATAAATAATTAAAAACAACATATTTTCAGTATAAAAGTATATTTAAGTCTAAACTGTATTATGAATCAAATTGTTGTTTATATTAGGTGGGTGTTTATCTCTTCCTGCATTTTAATATGATACAAAAGAAGCAAGAGAAACTCTGATTGCCCCAAAGGAAAGATTGAAGGATACCCAATTACCTAACACTTGTTTGATCTCTGATTAATATTATTAATCTAATTTGTCGGCAGAAGAACTACTAAAGTTGTCACTTGGGCTTGTCCCAGGTTGCCCATGTGCAAATGGGCCACTCTTTGTGAGCACAAATAATTACCGTACGTAATACAATATCTGTCCATAAAATATATAAAAAAATATATCTTAAAAAATATAAAAATATCTGTCCGTAAAAACAAGCTTGAAGTCCAAAAGAAGAAAATAATACACTTACTAAGTGTATATCCCTAGTGATAGATAAGTAGAGGCGAAGAAAATTAAAATTAAAAAAAAAAGGTGATGTAACAGGAAAAAAAATAATAAAAAGATAAAATGATTGTTCAAGTAAGATACGAGTATCATTTTTTATTCTAAAAAGAATGGAATAAAATATAAGGGACTGAAGAAAAATGATGAGTAGACATGCATACTGCAACCTTTTATTCATATATTTAATGATTTTTCCACTTACCAACTAAAAATTTCGTAAGAGACACACTAAATATTGAAATGCATGGAAGTGTGACCCACATGCATGTGATTATGGGACTCCGGTCCCTCTACGTAGTTTGGGTTTGATTAAAATTCTCACTAAGACACATTTTTAGAGACGAGTTAGAGTAGATAGATGTATTTATTAGGGGCACAACTTCCCTTCCTCTTAGACTTGAGAAGAGAACAATTCGGGTTTAATACCTTTAGAATTTTTTCATAAAAATTACAGTGGATTACAACTAATTGTGATTTTCTTTGGTTTTGTAAAAACATACTAATATTATAATTTATTTAAAAATATTTAAATCTATTAATAATATAATTAATTACTTATGGATTATGAGTACTTAACTTAATATTGATATACATAAAAAATAATGAGTCTCACATTTAATCTCATGATAAAGTTTTTAGAGTTAATAAAGAATGTGATTAACTCTCTTTTACTGTCATGAAAACACATTTTATTACTGTTTAGGTGTACCCTTTTATTATATAGTTCATTATCTTATTATTAGTATTCTAAATTCATATATAAAGATTTAATTTAATTTTTACTTACATAATACTCCAATCTTGTTAGATAGAATCTTATTTTATATATTTTAAATAAAAATAATAAAATGATCATGTAGTTTCTGAAAATTACTTTATTAAAAATTATTTCAAGTAGTATTCAATTTATTATGAGTTAATTTAACACTTCACAAAAAGAAAAAAAAAATGTCTATTGGACATTATAGGCTATTTAGAAGAGCTTACAGCAGGTATCTTATCCCGACTTTTCTTTATTTAGGTTTCACATGGTTCAGTTTCTAACATCAATTGTCTATTTAGGTTGGACTTAAACTTCGATTTCGTAACCTTGTTACAAAGCAAGTCTTTTTGCCTTAGATTCAATAAATGCAATAAATCAATACTAGTAGTAAAATAACAAAATATATGTACAATAATTGAGGTATTTTTAGTGATATTTTTAATTAAAATTAAAATTAAAAATTTATCTTATAAATCAAAATATATTAGCTTTATGATAAACCTTTATCATATATTTTTAATATAAAATTCTAATTTTTATTTAAGAACAATACACAAAATATTTAAAATATTGCATCTAAATTTGTATCTTTTACAAAATTAAGTTATTTTCTTCTTTTTCAAAGATAAATGTGAAAAATGCCTAATTTTAAGGAAAGAGTAATATAATCTTATTGTTAATTTGTTTCCAAAGTTTAGGAGAGTCGTTATCTTTTTAATTTATTTTCTGAAAGTGTCAAAAATTTCAAAGTGAAGTATAATTATACATGAATAACATTATTTATCAGCATGATGCTTCATATTTATTATAAACTTACAATATTTATATTAATAAATTATTTTAGTTAAATAAAAATTAAACTAATAAATGCAAAAAATGGCCTCGAATTGTTCATGTAACCTTGGATTCAATTGTAAGATTCATCTAAACGAAAAAATATATACTGTTAAAAAGAATTATAACTTTAACACTTAATTAAACTCTCTATCGTCTGCTTGTGGAATAAGATGCTATAAAAAAAATGGTTAATGTATGTTGTGATTAGGTTAGGGTAGAAAAAAAACTATTAATGGTTGATGTTACATGCGATTAGAGTCTCTTTATCAATCATAATCACCCAATGTATTACGTTTGCCGTATGATTCACATCAATGCTTGGATACACGCTATATTCTGCAAATAAATGAAATTACACCATCGGTCCGTAGAAAGAATTATTGTATGTATGAAAGAGACTTTTCTTTTTAAATAAATAGTTAAATATTTTTAAAATTTAAGAAAAACTATGAAAATATAAATTGATTTTTTTTATTAATATGATGTACCAAAATTTAAAAACTAAATTCAAATTATGATTTACTAAGATTAGAAAGTATTAAATTTAGTTTATTTTAAAAATATCTTTAATTTAATATAATTTGTATTTAAATTTAAAATTAGATTAAATTTAAAAACAAAAATAAAATTTGAAAAGAATAAAATATTAAAATGTCGCGAGAAAGATAATCCCTCACATCTAAGATAGTTGCTAATTTAGATTTAATATATAGAAGTAAACTAAATTTAAAATTTAAAGTTTTGTATTTATTAATATTTAAGAAATTAAACTCGAATAGTTTATTAATTTATAAACAACATATCTAGTTTATTCTTTATTCAATAAATAATATGATTTTGAACTACTCAACAGATATAACAGATATAAAATTGTTCAAATTTAACTAAAGATATTAGGTTGGACTCCCTTATGTAATTGCGTTATAGTTTTATTAAACTTAAATAAGATTATTTTTTAGGGTTTACACCTAATTTAGAAAGTTTTTTTTTTTAAATATAGCATTTTGAGATCAATTGAATGAACAAAATATGAGAATATGATATGTTAATTTTTTGAGTAATTCCTTATATTAGTCTTTTAAGTTTGTGAGAAATGAGTAAATTAGTTTTTAAAATTTTTAAACAAACTTGTTAATTTTTTATTTTATTAAAACGTTAGACATTTTAGTTTAATTAATAGTTTCTATTATAATGTTATTAAACTTTTTCAAGGTGCCACATAAAGATGGTTAAAACAATGTTGTTTCAAACTTGTTCTCTCTTTCTTCAACCGCTTGAATTGAATCTCAGTGTGAAGCATGGTGTCTTACTTCAAAGGCTTCTTAGAGGATCCTATTACCGAGAACTAGTCAAAGATTAACTTCTTGGTGACAATTCTCTTTGTTGGAATCATTATAATCTCTAAGATCTGCATGCCAAAAACACTTTCATACTTGAATGTGAAATTCTAAATCTAAGACGAGATGTGCTAGTAAAATGTGAAAGTTTTCGTTTCACATTGACTTTTTGCGAGTATTTAACACATGCATGCAAGTTACTACAAAATAAGGACATATAAGTCGTTGATAATAATCTTTTCATAGTAGTGTATTTAGCTGACAATATTGTTGGCAACAATGTTAGAGGAGTAGAATTTGATGGTGTCACAAGTGATTATGCAATGTTAAAGATGTTTGAAAAAGGAAACAATTATACTTCCTCGTTTTTTTCCCCATTTCTTCTAACTCCCTTTTGTTTATGGTCTTTGTAATTTCATTGTTGTTTCTCTTGACTCTCCTCTCCTCTCCTCTCTCTACCCACCAATTCCACACACCGCATATAAACCTTAGAAGAGGATCTACTAGTCTTTTCCATCGTCATATTGCTCTTTCAATTGAATCATCATCCTAGTAGCATTAAACATTGTATGTTGTGATAGGGAGGGGAGGGAGTTTTGAGTGATGTCAGCGATGGTGAAAGAGAAATATAAAACGACAATAACAACTGATAAAAAATTGAGCAAATACACTAATTATTTCTTAAAATTGTGATTGGTGTTAAACTAATGAAAAAAAGAAGAGAACTAATATGAAATGATGTTTTTTAATCACTTAAGTAATCTCAAGTATCACTTAATTTGTTATGATATAAATTATTAGTTGAACTACAATGCCTAATATTTGATAAATCAAGAATTAATAAATTTGTATAAAAATATCATAAACTAATTATCCAATACTCACAATTTCAAAGAATAATGTAAGAATTTATTCATAATTTTTTTATTAGGTACTACTTTTTATGTTTGTTTAATCAACATGATCTAATAACTTTATTTTATGTGGATATTAGAAATTTCATCCTATATAGTATTTGAGTTAAAAATAAATAAGATATGATTTTATATATATTAAACGTAAAATAAAATAACCGATTATCCTTTAAAGTATAATAAAAAGAAAAGGACAAAATAAGCAAAAAGCAGTTTGAAAAAGTGAACAAAATTAAAATTCCGACCTGCCGGATTCGAACCAGCGACCTAAGGATAACCATGTGGGTTTAGACCAACTACAGTCCTCCGCTCTACCAACTGAGCTAAGGTCGGTTTCATTAAGATCTGAGAATCAAAATATATTAATTTTAAACTGTGTAAAAATAATTATAAAATATGGAAAATAATGCTGCCACAACCTTCACTTGCTCTTAAATTGTCTCCAATAATCTTTTTTTTTTTTTTTTACCCTCTTTTCCTTTTATCTTACGCACATGTATAATGAGTTCTACTTGAAGGACGAATTAGGAGAGGCAAATGAAGGAAAGGAGTTCAATGGTACACACGATATGGGGTTAAAATGGATATGAAAAGTTAATCAATCAGATCTATAGTATAAAAATCAGAATTTCATTCATCAATTTTCCATTGTCATTTGTATCGTACACCAAACTAGCTAATCCAAGGGTGAAAATTTATTCTGCAGGCCGGACTTATCATTAAAAATTCTCTCTGCCGAAAACGTGCCCTGATTTTATGCCCAACTGCCCCATGATTCCACTTTTAATAACAAATTGCCAATCTTTTTCTAATGATAATTGTGAATTTTTTTTTGTTGAAAAATAACTAAAATATAAAAGAAAACCGAGTCAAAATTAAAAACAGATTCCAACCATTATTGATTCATATTATAAATTTTTATGACACAATTGAGGAAACATTGGTGTTTTGTCCCTTCACTGTTATAATTATAACAATATTAAAGCTAGTCCCCGAACTTGTACTATATATTCAGTACCCCGAGGGCCCAAAATCTCAGTTGATCTTCCTACAATTGGTCCTAATCTGGCCACTAGACCCAGTGAGTGGACTAAGGTTCCCCATTTTAACCATTGCATTGGCAAAGTCAGTTTTGAAACTAGCAGCATCATTGCTATAAGCATTTACTTGAGAGTCTGTGGATCCTCCATTGAAAAGCTCTTGATCTGAGTGCAAGAGACCCTTTTGTTCCTGCAAGTTCTTGAAGTATGCATTGTCAAAGGTGTTTGCCGTAGTGGTGTCAAGAGGGGACAAATTGCCATCACCACCTGTGCTAGGACAATTTGCTTTCAATGATTGTGCAAAAGTGGCATCAATGTTGGTCTCATTGTAAATCCTTGTTCTGAAGTTTAAACAGCTAGCTTGGCCAATTGTGTGAGATCCTGAAATGTTTGTCACATATAGAACATTAAGTGCATGTCTCTATATATGTAGTTTGTTGTCAAGAATTGGAGTTGTTTGGTTTGTGAAAAAGTTTTTTTGTTTTTACTTGTAATTATAAAACTGTCTCCTTATGCTCATTCTATTTTCTGATTTTTAATATTTGGACAGAAAATAATAAAAAAATAATTTTGGTATTTCAAGTGGAAATCTTTGAAAATATGAAATAGAATGAAAACAAAATATATTGTGAAACTAAATAACCCCTAAAAGTGTATATAAGAAGTAAAAATTAAAATTCATATAAGAATTAAGATCAAATAAAGCATTATATTTATGTGGATTAAACACATATTTAAACTATATAAGAAAATTTAATATGCATTTAGACATAGAGGCTACCTGATAGAGCAACCATTTCTTTGGTTGTGAAACCTTTGTTTGAGAAAGCAGTGATAAGTTCACCTAGATTCAAGGAAGGAGCGGGCAAGTCCGAGTTTGCCAAACTGAAACTTGCTGTGGTTGAATCTCTTCTGCCCAATTCAACTGTCCAGCTGGTTCCACCAAGCTGAAGATATTTCATAATTAGTGCCTGGCTCATAGTTTCTTTCCCTTATTATATAGTATTATAATTATAGGATTTGGTTTGTCTAGAGTGAAAAAAATAAATAAAGTGACAAAGTAAGTTTTGTTACCGTTAATTTAAAGTTATTTATTATTATAAAATACTTATATGAATAATTTTTTACTTTTAAATTTTCTATGTATTTTCACTTGAAACAAATAAAATGTTTAAAATGTACTCACAGCAACCACAGAGTCTCTTGCAGCTACAGCAAGGATATCAGCACAGGAAACAACACCAGGGCACAAGCTCTCCACTTGAGACTTTATGGTGTCTATTACGTCAAAACCTCTTAAGGAGTTAACATTAGGAAATGCCGTTTGTTCACCCGTAAAACTAGCTGTGTCATCTAATAGCACTGATGCATCGCATCCCTGAGATCAAAGACACAATGGATTAATAAAATAAAAATTAAATAAATGAATTTATGTGTCATTTAACACTAGTTACCAAAGAAATTAATTATACACATGATTATCTTTTTCTTTTTGTAAATACTATAAATAATTTTCTGGGCTAGCTGGATGACCTTTTATTTTTTATTCCAAGAATAAAATATTGGAAAGAAACACTATTTTGCCGGTCACTGGGAAGCAAATGCTAGTGGAAATCAAAGACATGATGCGTGTGTGTGTGTTTCTAGTCAATAATAATAATAATGGTGGTAAGAGTTTGCTTAAAAATATTTATTATATTTTTAATGAAACAAATATTTTTTTAACGGTTCAACTAAATTACATTATAAAAATTTAGATCAACAAAATAAGAAAAAATTAAAGAGTAAGTTCACTTGCTTGAACAAAGCAATCATGAAAATGGAGACGTAGCAAGGATGCCCCCATTCGAGCCTCATTGTTCACAGCAGAGTCCACTGCTGTCTTAATAGTTGAAAGCACATTTGGACACGATGTTGAGTAAAAATCAGAGGACAATTGAGCTGAGACTATCCCCATTGAGCATAAGAATAAAAGGAACCAAACTCTGAAGATTGGCATAATGCATAAGGAGAAAGAAGTAGTAGCCATGATGGTAATGGGAATTCTACGTAAGGAGAAATTCGAAGGAGATATAATACTAATTAAGAATTTGAGGATCGAGAAGCTTATGATTAGTGCTTGGGGTTGGGTTCTTCAATGCGTCACATATTTATACATGAGGATATTTTGTAGTTGTCTCGATTAGTCAATATATGCATGCATGCAGCCAATCAGGAACAATTATCTGTACAGAAGCGAGTTTTTCCAAAGTGTCCTAATAATTTTATTGATGTTCAATAAAAATTTAAAATACACTGTATGTCAGAGTAAAATGCATTTTTTATGGGTGATTTAATATATATATATACAGAGAGAGAGAGAGAGAGAGACGCCCATTCTCTCATCTCTTTACTGATATTTATAAAATATACGTAAATAGACGGAACCTTCCTAGTCTAAAAGAAAAGGACGAAGAAATCAATTGGACCGAGTAGATATAATATTATCAATTATTGAATTTATTTTGTATGTATTGGGCCGGAAGTTGAATTTTTTTCGAAAATATGTTGAAAATTCTTCATTTTTCGGCTACAATATTGAGCTGCAATTTTGCCACTATTCTTAGACTCTTTTTTTCTAAAGGCGAGCCATTTGAGCGAAATATTTGAAAACTTCTAACTTTTTTTTGTTTCTTCTAAACTTTTGAGTCCACCACGTGGGTAACCATTCTTTATCGCATAATCTCTCTCTTTTATTTTTATTGTTTTTGTTAGATAAAATAATTTACTTTAGATCGTAAGCATCTTTAAGGACAAACAATTTTATTTAAGTATAGACAGTAACTTATTTTTTAAAAATATTTAACACAAATAAAATGGTTATATGTAAGAAAATAAAATTTTTTGCTCTTACTTTTCCTTTTTTCTAATCAATTATATGTAACTTCCCAAAATTATATTTTGAGTCTTCACACAAGCTAAATTAAACATGCCACCAAATGCGTGTTATTATTATTATTATTATTATTATTATTTATTGATATCCTAATTCTTAATATCTATCTATCCATTTATTTATCTATATATTCTTATATGTGCATATACGGTTTCTTAATGCAATTTTTATTTAAATGTCTAATTAAAGAAGAGAAGCGATATGATAATCAGAAAATAATTAGTTATGCAGTAATAGAAAAATAAATTTTTATAAGCCAAATAAATTATATTACTTGGAAGTAATTATTTTAGAAAATTTAGATAATAATAAAATCACATGTAAAGAAAAAAAATGACATGGTGAGAGGTTATATAAATTTTTAAAATGAAGAATATTGTAGATGAATTGAGTTTTCATTTGAAACATCATAATCACAGTTTAGATGAAAAGTTTCAAAAGAAGATATTTGCTCAAACAATATATACGAGGTTGTTAAACAAAAAAAAATAAATAAATAAACACATTAGAAGAGAGCAACCTCATCGTGTTCGTGAACAGACAACATCGATCGGTCAATTGTTCTTTATTTTGTTAGTGTGATATTTTTTCAAAATAGGATAATGAACTTAATTTTTATATAATTACAGAACTTAATTTTAAACAAAATAAATATATAATTTTGAAATATTATCATCATTTAAATAAATAATTTTTTAAATATAAAATACTTCTACAATCATTTGAAAGGTAATCTTAATTATTTTAAAAGTCAACTTTATCTATTTAATAAATAAATATAACTTAATTCATTTTTATTAGGTCATATTAACCAATGTCTTGAAAATACAGTTTAAAGAATTAATTATTTTTAAGAATTTAAATAATAATTTTTTAGCTAAAAAATGATACAAGTGCATGCAAATTATGCATTAGCATGCATGATGATGCATAGGACAGGTGATGGTTTACTTGGAAGTAAAGTCAGTCACGCAGCGAATGCAGCTATTGTCGCCTGAGTTTCTATCATGCGGCCACTCTCTTGTTCAAAACCTAATACTCTTTCCAGTTTGAAAAATGCATCTACATACCCTACAATGATAGTTTTTAAATCGAATTAAATTATTTTAAATCACTAAATTAATGTAAACAATTTTAAGATTGATGATAAAAATTTATAACAAAAAGTTGCAATTTCATTGTGGTTTGATTTTGTTTTTTCATGGTATATTTCTGTTTAAAAATTATTCCTTTACTTAATTCTATTTGAACCTTGTATGAATAAATAATTTTTTATTTTTATCTACTCTCAAAAATTTTCTTTTCTTTTTAATTGCGTTTCCTTTTTTCCCTTTTCTTTGTTAAAAAACTCACTTTTCTTTCACAATTTTATCCATTTGACTTTCATGTCTTTCTTTTGTTTTTTCTTTCTATCAATTCTTGGCCTCATCCTATCTAATTTAAAATAAAAATAATATAAAAATAATTAAAAGATAAAAAGTTGAATAGCTGATCCAAATGAAATGTAAAAATTTAATTTAATTTTAATACTACATTCAAAATAAATTAAACAAAATCACATGTTTATATTTAATTAATTATATGACATTTTTAAATAAAAAATGAATTAAATCAGACCATAAACACCCGTATTGATAAGTAGTCATTTTGCTTTAAAACCTTAATTTATTAGAGGAAGCACTAATTAAGGTCTCTGAGATTCGAAGCTAAATAAAATAATAAACTTGCTGTGGTAGAAGAGTAAAATTTGAAAAGTCTAAAAGACCCACATGCCTTGTAGACGTTATCCTCTTTCAAACAATGCCAACCATCACAGTCTGTAGCCCAAAAGAGATGAAGGAGGTCCAAGAAGATACCTTCCTTGAGGAGAAATGTGTTAGGGTGATTTTTTTTTTATCAATATTATTATTTAAATAATAAAATATTAAAAGTAATAACGATATAGTAATGATGAGTTAGATTTATGTAAGTCTAAATATTTTTAAAATGTTAGAAATTATATTTCAATAATTTTTTTAAAGACTAATTTTAAAGAGAATTATTTTTATGGAGATAAAAAATACATAATTATGCCATATTTATTTTAACATTTAATCAATAACATTTGCTAGCATAAACTTACGCTATTCATAATATTATATTAAATATATTTTAAAAAGATTTAATGAATACAAATGAGCTTATCTATTTATAATTTTTATTATATATGACAACTTTCGGGGATTCCAATAAAATACAAGCAAGAATTAATGCTTGGAAAGCAGTGTTAATTATATGAACAATATATAGAGATTTATATTCGTGCCATTTGACAGTACAGCAGTTTATTACAGCTGTGTTATACCTAAACTAACAAAGAGATGAAGCGATGACAATAGAAATAATTTTCTAAAGAGTGATGGCATCAAATGTTAGATTTTATATACATAAAGTGAAGGTAGCTGCCTCGTTCGAAAAAGATTCATGATTATGATTATGCACGAAATAAAATGAAAAATAAATATGTTGTTACACTCTAATAAAAAAAAAATACACAAATTTATTATAAAAGACTGAAGTAAATATGTTCTTATTTTTTATCAATTTGTTTGACTTGTGGTTGAAGGAGTAATCTAATGACGCAACCAGTTTAGGCTTAGTTTATTTCGCTACTTTAATCATTCTTATTCTTGATATATGATCAGGCTAAAATTTCAAAATTTTCTTACAGTAGCAGTAAGGTTAATTTCATTGAAAATTTAGCAAACTATATCATAGAATGCTAGGCAGGCCAAAATATTAGCTAAGTCCAAGTATTGTTCTTGATATTGAGTTTATATTACAATTGCGGAAGCATTGACTTTGCTCCTAAACTGCAATGAATACAACAGCTAAATTATACAATACTTGGTCGTAACAAGAAAGCCCAAAGTCTCAGTTGGTCTTCCTACAATTGGTCCTAATCTGGCCACTAGACCCAGTGAGTGGGCTAAGGTTCCCCATTTTAATCATTGCATTGGCAAAGTCAGTTTTGAAACTAGCGGCATCATTGCTATAAGCATTTACTTGAGAGTCTGTGGATCCTCCATTAAAAAGCTGTTGATCCGAGTGCAAAAGACCCTTTTTGCTTTGCAAATTCTTGTAGTAAGCATTGTCAAAGGTGGTTGGACTGGTTGTGTCAAGAGGGGACAAATTGCTATCACCACCTGTGCTAGGACATTTTCCTTGCAATGATTTTGCAAAAGAGGAATCTATGTTGGTCTCGTTGTAAATCCTTGTTCTAAAGCTCACACACCTCGCTTGCCCAATTGTGTGAGATCCTGAAATGTTTTTCAGATGAAAGGGTCAATTAAGTTCGTGGCAAACATTAATTTAATCATAGATTAGTACATCAATAAAACTATTAACTTTCATAATAATTAAGTTAAAAGTCATATCAATGATGTATTAAATTGATTAAAAGTGTAAAATAAGAATTTATCTAACATTGGGACTAAATATGTATAAACTCATCTAGCTAGCTAGCTACCTGAAAGAGCAACCAGTTCCTTAGTTGAGAAGCCTTTGTTGGAGAAGGCGTTGATAAGGCCACTTAAATCCGAAGATGGAGCTGGCAAGTCAGAGTTAGCTAAACTTAAACTTGCTGTGGTTGAGTCTCTTCTACCCAATCGCACTGTCCAACTTGGCCCACCAAGCTGCGAAATTTGTTCAATATGAGTGTGTTATTGGGGGAAAATGTGTATAATAAAGTTCATCTTATTAACTTTGTATGCATGAAATGTTTTCTTTTAGGAAAAGAAAAAAAAAAGAAACTGAGTTAATGTTTTCTTTTAGGAAAAGAAAAAAAAAAGAAACTGAGTTTCATATTCTATCCTTAGGCTTTGAATTATACTTACAGCAACAACTGAGTCTCTTGCAGCTACAGCAAGGATATCAGCACAAGAGACAACACCGGGGCATAAACTCTCCACTTTAGACTTAATGGTGTCTATTACCTCAAATCCTCTTATTGAATTAGCGTTGGGATTCGCTGTCTTTTCACCTGTGAAACTCGATGTATCATCCAATAGTACTGATGCATCACATCCCTAGAATCAAAAGCAATATAGTATTAATTTACAATTGAATTTAATTAGTTGTCATTTCCACTTGCTACCAAAGAATGTTACGCATATCGATAGTCTAGTATTTTTAAATCTAAATGAAACAACAAGGATGTGGACTTGGTCTTAACATTTTACTTTGTTGGCAATTTGGTAACAAATGCTTGTTAGCAGAAGGTTGAACATTTTACACATTATTTTTACGAGAATTTCAAATTTTGTTTAAACTTTTAAGGATAAATTAATATGCAGGCGTATCTTTTCTTTGAAAATTCAGTTTTTATAATTTAACAATTTTTTAAAATAATAACATTCACTCCATAGAACAGCACGTAACCCATGATGCGTACATACATTCAAATCTCACAATTTGCCCCTTTCGCCAAATTCGTGGGACCTTCCTTTGGTTTCCTCCAGCTAAATATTCTAATGACAATAGTAACATTATCAATTTTGTTAAGAAATGCTGAATACAGTTTTAACACTTTTAAAGTCATACAATAAGTAGTAATTTTTTATTAAAAAAAATATAGACCTACCAAATTCAGTGAATTACATGTTATAATTTTAAATAAAAAGTTTAATATTTATTAATTTATTATTGTGTGTATTAATAAATATTATACAACAGATCATTATATACTGAAATTATTATTTAAAGCATGTGATATATATTTTTATAAAATACGAGCATTTTTAATTACCATTATATTTCTTTGACGAGATAATTAACATTCTATGGCATTACATAGTCGAAAAATGATTTGGGTACGTACTTAAGATAAATATAATTTTTACGTAATTAATAATTATTATATTTTGTATGTGTTAATAAATGCATGTATGTTTTTGCTTAATAAGTAATGCAATACACATGAAAAAACTTAATTGAAGTGTTTGATTTGAATTGCATAATTTAAATTTAATTGTCATAACGTAGTCTAACAAAAAGATGGACATTCAATAATATATTAATAGACCATGTTCATTATAAAAATTAAAAATAATATTATATAAAAATATAAATGATATCTTAATAAAAAAAAATTATACATACTAAATATAAATTGAAACGCGTAATTAAGCATATAAAAAAAAATAAAGGAGAAAATGACAGTGAACTTGCTTGAACAAAACAATCATGGAAATGAAGACGGAGAAGGGAGGCCCCCATGCGAGGCTCGTTGTTCACAGCAGACTTTACTGCTGCGCTAATGGTTGAGAGTGCATTAGGGCATGTTTGGGCATAAAAATTAGAGGACAATTGAGCTGAGACTATCCCAAACCCAACAATGCAAAAAATGAAGAAACGAACTTTGATGGTTGGAAGGATCATGGTTATTGAAGTTTTGTAATTATTAGTGCTTGTGGTTATGGCCTTGAACTGTGTCCTACATTTATACATGAAATTTGGCTTGAACTAGGTTTGTCTTTTCCTCTTGTCAATGTATGCTGCCACAATGCATTAAGAAACTATATTTGATTGGAAAGAGAGGTAGTAGGCGTTATCTGCATCAGTTGTTGGGTTTATTTTTATATTTTAGGCTCATAGCTAGCTGTATTTCCCCAACTATTTTAATTGTTTAATATCTTGACATGTTAAAACTCTATGGTGTTTTACTTTTCTTTTTCTTATTTAACACCACAAGAATCTTTTACTTCTAACGAATTTTGTTTCATATGAAAATATTTATAAAATGGCATTAACAAGAAATCCTAATACACTCCACAGGATTATTATGCCAATCTGAAAAGGAAAAAGAGGCACTCTTGCTCTAATTGCAAATCATTTTTAGCTCCTAATTAACCTTAATATGATCGATTATCTCTAGGAATACACACGACTCCTGTCTAAAAATTATTACATTCCTTAGATTCCGTGTAGACCACACAGCAACATTCCAAATCATTGATAAATTTTGTTTCTCCTTTTTCTTTTTTTCATTGCTCAACTTACGAATTGAAGCGTATACATAGTTAAAGTTAAAACAAACTATTTGTAATTACAAAATATACAACCAAACCAATTGGGTATATATGATACCAAATCCTCACAGAAAGGGAAGAGACAAAACAAATGAGAACACGTTGAAAATCAGTTCTTTTCTTCTTGGCATTTGATCACCGACTCACTACAGAATATTATATTTTGAAGCAAAAAATATATATGAAGGGCATGTTTTCTCAAGATAGTATATTGATGAATTTCTTTATCTTTCATTTAGATATCCAAATAGAAATATTTTGTTACAATCATCAAGACCTAACTTCTCATAAAAATACAACTTGTGTAAAGAGTAAATTTTTTGTCAACTAAAAGATTCCAAAATGATAACTTAGACTTGTGATAGAAAAGAACAGGCAAAAGGTATATGTTTATTGGAAAACAACAAGAGAGGTCAGTGAAGCCAACATGTTCTCTGGCTTTTCTGCCTTAATCAAATGTAATACCTACTTGCCTGTCTTTGTTGACCAATGATAACGCGTTGATGCTAAGAATGAAATTGCCCACCGTGAACATGCAAAATATGCATGCAAAATACCTTTCCATTTTACTTTTTCTTTACCAAATTTGTAAAAAAAATATTGAAAATATGATTTTGTTTTTTTATTATTTGTGCACAAATTTTTAAAATAGAAAACAAAGTAAAAGTAAGCTCATATTTTTACAACTATTTGTAAGTTGAATTAAAAACAAAAATGGAAATTTCAAACCAAATATATTTTAAAAATTTAACTATAATAATTTTTTTAGAGTAAACCAAATCAGAAAATAGCTTAATCTCCTTTACTAAAGTTTTAAGGAAGAATAAGACGATTCTAATTGTTTGTGAATTTTTTATACACTATACAAGCATTATTGAACTAACATAATTTTTAAATAAATTAAAGGTATAGTATTTGATTATTTTTTAATTTAATATTTTTATAAAAGTTTAGAAAGAGTAAATAGCATAATGTTATTATTAGTAATAAATATTAATATAACTAACTTTAAAAATTAAACTTAAAAAGTTAATCATTAATTTTTAAAATTTATAAAAAATAAAATTAAAACCTGAATATATAGAGATAAATTAAACAAAGAAAGTTATTCAAGGGTATTATACAAAGATTGAAGAGTCGGGTAAATCCCAACTATTCCTCGTGTCTTAGTCGTTAAGAAGAACTAGATAACTATTTTAGCTATGGAAAATATTTTATTTTGGCATAGACACTCAAATCAGTATTCGATATACAAGAAATTGTAGAGCCTTTAAGAGAAAGTCATTTGTATCTAAAACTATTTTCATTCATCAATTACTGATTTATATATATATAAATCATATTATCAATATCTAAAGGGATAAAATGTCTCGGAATTTTTCCTTCAGAATATAATATGATATATTAAGGTAAGGGATGCTAACTTCAATTCATGTATAATAAAGAAACTAGTAATTTAGTTATATTACGGTAAGAAACTATTTTGTTATATAATTTAAAAAATATATATACTTTTAATTTTAGTACTTTAGTTTATGTATGGTTTTAGTTTTTTTTTTATATATAATTTAATTTGTCATTTTTTATTTCTTCTTAGTTTTTGGATTGTGAAGTGGGTCTATAAAACCTCATTTTAAAACTTAAAACTAATAATCATGCGTCAAAAGTTTTTAGATAATATTGAAAGTTTTAAAAAATGTTCTTAAAAATTCAGTAGAGAGTACAGTATAATTACTTACCTTTGTAAGAATTTCAATTATGTTAAGGTAAACTGGATTTTAGGATATTATTTCTCTTCAAAGAGAACATAATTTATAAAACCAGTGGAGTACAGTATACTTTAAACATCTCTGAAAAAGTTAATGTATTACCCTAAAGAAAAATACCCGTCATATAAAATATATAATAATAAAGAGTTTTAAAATAATGTTGTTGAAATCTTCAAATTCGCAAAACAAATAATGAATGAAAAAAAATACTTATTCTAGTTCTTTAAATTATAAATACTTTTAGTTCATAATTTTAGAAAAAAAATACTTTCAAATTTTCATTTTATAAAATGACATTTATTTTATGTTATATAAAATGATAATATAATTAAAGTAAAAAATAAATAATTTAAAGGTACTGAAAATTAAAATATTTTTTTATAAAATTAAAAGTTAAATTAATCAACACTTATAATTTTAAAAATTAAAATAAATATTTACTAATAATTAACAGTTGTATTTCGTACTTTGACTGATAACTTGGGAATCGCTGATTGGTACGGATAGCAATGTTCGGCAAAAAAAGATAAAATAAAATTAGACACAATGATTAAGATACGAATAATCTCAAAAGTAATTTGATATAAATGGTTTAATTGTCAAACTCGATTTTTATTTTTAGTGTATCTGTCGTTTTAATTGAATTAATACCTAAGAAGAATGGTTATCTTTCTTTAACGTCTAATGAGACATGAAATCCTATTAAAGAATTGCAAATAAAAGAAACTATGGTACGATGGTAGGGAAAAGAAAATCTTTGCGCACTGAATTGCTAAATTCTACGTAAACAGCACCACACGATCCCAAGGATAATTGTAGCAAATGTATTCCATTGATTATGGCATCAATCATGATTAAAATTAATTACTTAATAAAACTGATTATAGAATCTACAGATATCACTGTCTCTGGTTAGCGCTGTAAAAAAAATACTAATTCAACTCGATCTATTAATTTGATAATTAAGTTGGCACATCAGTTTTCTTAAAGAATAAAATATATATAATTTTTGAAAAAAATTAAAAAAATATAAATACAAATACTGAAATGGAGATTAAAAAAATCATAATAGATTATTTCAATTTACATAAATATCTTAATATTTTAAAATCATTAGATAAATAAATAATATTAGTAATAAGATAATGATTAAAATTAAAATATCTGAATTGACCTATTTCACTGTAGTTCGACCCATATAATTAGTAGATTAAGTCAAATAAAAAAAATTAAATGTCTTATAAGTTAATACTTTTACAATATATTCAACTCCCTTAAAGTCCATGCAAGCTGATGAGTTGACTCCATTTGGTCACGCATGTCAAAGATTGAGGTTCTCCACACGTGCTTGGCCTTTGCTGGAAAATATTGCCAAAGGAAAATATCTGGTTGACACACACTTCTTGAAATAAAGATACTCCAGGTGAAATAAGAAGAAAAAAAAAGGGAAAATAGTAAATACAATAAGTACTATGATATAACTAAAAACAAGATATAAGAAAAAAAAAAAATATATATATATATATATATTATAATATATTGCTAGTAGATGTTAAACTTAAATATTATATTAGTTAATAATCTTTTTATAAAATATAAAATTCATAATTTTAATCATTATTTTAAAAAAATTTATTAAGTCAATTGAATATATAATTTTATAAAAAATAAAAATAATAAGTTTTACTTAATAAATTTTTATAGAATATAAGATTGATTGATATAATTATTGAATAATTTTATATTATTTTTATATTTATGTGTATTAAATTTAATATAATTTAGATATTTGTGGATATATTATCTAAAATTTGATATTTATTTATATTCTAAAAATATATTATATATTAAAATAAACTAATATAATGAAGTACGATGTTAATATCTTGTTTATAGATAAATATACACGTCAAAAAGTAATAAAAAAAATTTAAAATAATATTTTAAAATATTGTACTATAAAAATTATTTTTAACTACTATAAATTTCTTAATTTAATTATTTAAATTTAAAGGATGTGAAATTAAATAAAATAAGGATTTAAATATAAAATTAATTAAAAAAAATTAAAATAACTCATTCTTTAATAATAAAATAATTGAGAAAAATGCAAGATGTGTGGTTTCACTTTTAAATTCTTTATTTATTTTTTTTTAAATTAATTATAACTTCAGTTTCCTTATAATTATCAATCAATCATAATAAATCTATTAACACTCAATGGTCATACAAAGTATAATGAAGAGAAAGCATAAAGAGTCTATGAGTTGTTAATCTAATAACGATTGAAAGAGAAAAATTAAATTTGGTCTACCTAATTTTATGTCTCGTTTTACCTACAGATTTATTAACTATATGTGGTAGAGTCGACTATGATATAATTAATTATGATATGTGTAGAAGTTATCAATTCTAAATAAACAAATATAGCACAATAAGGTAAACATCAATAAAAAAAAGGAAACTTGAAATCATTATTAATAAAAAAGATTTCATAAAGTAATGCAAAAAATCTACCATAATTCTAGCTATGGATTTAGCAAGACATAAAATGAAAGAATACTAAAACAATAATAAATAAATTTATAAAACTTGAA